TGCAGATGCTTCTCTGAGTTTTACAATTTTCAGAGAAGGGAGAATGACATAGGGGATTGACTGTCGTTCTGGCAGTGGCAAGCACATAATGACCATCTGAAATGGGGCAGAAACAAGATGGGGCCTGACACAAAGCCTTTCCTCTTACTTCAGAGAGAACAAGCTACTCCATGAATAACAATTGGGGGAACAAAGTGACATTCCAGAAAAACCTCTTGAAAAGAAAACAAATTTTAATTTCAGAGGTTTTCTTCGACATAAAGTTACCTTCTTTTTGGAAACTTCTTTCCCAGTCAGACCAGGAGAATATTCAATCATTGCATAATGTGATTTCAATTCAAATACAGATCTAAAAGTTCAAGTACAAAATTATATACTTGGCCTTTTCACATTAATTAATCCAAATCAGTAGAGTAACACACTGGCTTTCACTGGAGAACATCTTTGTGCTAGTGAGAACAGTTAATTAGAGCTGGCACAAACACCTTCCATATCCAGCATGAATGATAATATTCCCAGAGCAAATTTTCTCAGCAAACTTGAGGAGACAGTTGATTCTTGATTCTTCAGCCCACCCACTTCTTCAGAGATTTTAATAAGAGAGAAGGAATTGATTGATGAGCAGCCCCTGTGCTCTTCCTGCAGCAGCTCCAGCCCTTGCTCTGCTGTGAGCTGCCAGCACCAGAGGTGCCCCAGCCTGCAGATATGCAGGATCTCCTCAACTGAGCACAGGCATCCTCTAGGAGATGTCCTTACTCTCCAGAAACAAAGACTTCTAAATTAAATATGACAAGCTGGATGGTCCAAACATTGCTTCAAGCTCCAGTTCTCTTCCCAGTCTCATAGGGCCCTGCTGGCAAGTTGACCAAAATGTTTACTGTTTTGTAGATATTTTGGTCAACTTAAATGTTTCTTTTAACACAAAATGAACAGTGTTTTCTTTATTCACATGCTACTTCACCATTTTGATTCAGCATTTTTGGATAAAATTTGTTTTGAAACAACAAATAATAATTTAATTCCTAAAATGTCAAAACAAATGCTTCAGCTCAACATCAGGAAGTTTAGCTGCTTCCATCCCTTTTTATACTATTGGATTTTTTAGCTGCAAATATTCACTAAAGCTCAACCCATATTCGGCTCTGTTCCCTCACACTCTGCTTTTTGTTCCTTTAACCCAGAAAACACTCCCTGAATGGAGCTGCAGCACCTCAGTGATTTCACTGGGACATCAGGAATTGTACTTGCCAAAAGAGCAAGAAGCAGGCATTTACCTGTGACCTGGAAAGCTATTTTTGTCTATCACTGAGCTGTCCAAACATGCCTTTTTCTCTCTGGGAAGCTGTGATAGCACCCACAGTACTTGTTCTTGTAACATTCCAGGTGGGATTCAGAAGGAGAGCAGCAAAATGCTTTGGGAACAACCTGCACATCCTAAGGCACATGGATGAGCATGAAGAGGAGAGAGAAGAGGCTTTCCTTAGCTTGGCATCATAACACACAGAGAGCTGGTCAGATCCTGGTGGGACACATGAGCAGGATACACCCACCAAAACGGGCTCTCCATGGTGCTGCTGCAAAGCCAGGTCCTTCATTCTCCATCAGGGCCTGGACACTCCTTGTCCCAAGGCTGCAGAGATCCCAAAGGGCTGCACAGCACGGGATGGGACTGGACTGTAAATGCAACTTGTAATAAATAAAAATAAATACATCATATAAATAAATAATATATGAAATAAATAAATAAATAGAAAAATATAATAATAAATAAAGAGAAAAAGAAATAACAAAACATCCATTTAAGTTTTATAAGTGACACTGAGGTAGCTCCCCTCAACTGCTAAGTTAATAATTTTATAGCACTTAATTTTTCTTTAAAAAAAGACACAAAAACCTCCAAAAAATCCAACAAAACAGAGCTTGGAGGTGGATGCTCCTAGAGCTAGACCAACTTTGATTTTCTGTGCACTGTCTGGCAGAGCTAAACACCTGCCTGAGCCATGCTGCAATATGCAAGTATTAGAAAGTAAATTATATTAGATGCCAGCCATTATCACAGTGACCCATTTTTAAGGGTTTCAGCTGCATCTCTGCCAGTCTTCCTAAAGCAAGTTTTATTGCCAAGCTTGTATATGTGCCACTGTGCAATCAAATAAAGCAGCTTTCTGCCAGAGTGTGAGCAAGATTAGGGAGTAGAACTGATTTAAGTTCTCTTAAGAGCAAGAGGCAACAATGAAAATGAAAATGAAAATCTGAACCCTGAGGGAAATTTGGAAAACACAGGTTCACAAAACAAGCTTTTTTGTTGTTGTTGTTGTTGGTTTTGGTTTTGTTTTTGTTTTTGTTTTTTGTAGTGGACAAGTCTCAGTTGCTGACTCACTGCTATCTGGATTTATTGGAATGCATCAATCACATTCTCAGTATCAGCATTTCAGCCTTCCAGAGGCATGTCTGAAAGGTTCAGGTTTCCTACAAAGAGCTGCAGAGTTGCTTCCTCAGCCCAGAGCTGTGGAAAAAGAGGCCAGCCTGGGAGAAGAGGCTTTGGCAAACAGAGTCACTGTAAGGTGCAGCTCCCCTCAGAGCCCCAGGATGGAAAAAGCACCCATACACTGAAGAGTTAAATGCAAAATGCAGCCAAAATGACTGTAAGGAGCAAAACATGAACTTCCTCCCTGACTGACCAGAGACTAACTGTGGAAAGAGGAACAGTCAGGGTCAGGAAAAATATTCTGATGCTTTCCAACCAGAAGGATAAAACAGGGGGAGAAAGCCTGGGAGGGCACTAAGGGACCCCTTAATTTCTGGGTGTAGTGAGGAAAGGAAAAACCCCAAAGGCTGGCCCTGCAGAGCCAGCCAGGAGGCAAATGGAGGCTTAGGTCATGTTGGACACATTTCCTGTAGAAATCAAACAGCTGGAGAAGCAGGGCTGAGCACAAAGATCCAGTGCCCATGAGCCACCTGAGCAGCAGAGGGATCTGTCTGCTTCAGAGAGCTGAGCTGGGCACCTTCCCCACACAGGCTGTCCTGGGTGTCCCAGGGATGGCAGAGGGAAGGGCCCTCAGCCTGCAGGCATGGGCAGCTCCCCAGCAGGGCAGCCACATCCCACAGCTCTCCCATCTCCTTGGGAGGGCCTCCCCACTGCAGCATCCATCCCACTGGGCTGGACCCCCCAGCTGCTGCCTCCCACCAGCCACAGCTTTGTGCTTCCCATTCCAGACCAACACACACTTCACACATCAGAGGTAAAAGACTTTATTATCCCATGGGTTTTTCCTAAGAAGTAAGATTCCCACCAGACAAAATATACAAAGCATCTTATGTTTTCTTTCTACAACTGCATTCTCACCCTATGGAACAGTGAGCACATGAGCTGACCCCAAAGAACCAAGGTTTGCCCTTACAGCTGCGGGACTGCACAGTTAGCACATCCAATGACATCATGCAGAACCAGAGGGGAGGGCAAGAGGCCTGTGTGCACCTGAGTGCAGCCTCAGGCTTCTAGAAATGAAGAGAAATGAGGGCTTAAATTTACCAGTTACTTCCATGAAGTGAACCAATTCTCTGACCCACTTCTTGTCATCCTCTTGGCAATTAAAGGCTGGGGCTAGCAGCAAGTTATTGCTGGGAAAACACAATGCTAGAAAAGTAAATACCCATCTGGCAGTGGGAAACTTTCCACACCAACCTGCAAGAAGTGCACCTAATTCTTCATTTTACATCAAGCTTAAAGCAGAATGAAACCAAAGTGTCCTCCTCTACTTGACAGAAATTAATATTCATAGCTATGTTTATATAAAATAATAAATACTCAGCCTCTAACAATATACTAATTCCTATTGCATTACATGACCATCCTGAGATCCTGTTTTGTTTTCACGTAATTAACTCATAAAATTAACACTCAGAAGTTTAAAATATATTAACTTTGCATTTTGGTTCTGCTGAGTTAATGATTGTACTTGCATTTACTTTATCCTTCCTCTTCCAAAACAACAGGCTCACTTCAACAGATGGTGAACAGGTCCAGATTTGCTGGAAACCAATTAACAAGAATGTGCCAAGTTGAAACTCACCCCATTCTTTCAAGCCAAAAAACTGCCTGCATTTCAAGAACCTAATTAGTTTTAACTACATTTATGGAACAGAGGGAAGAATATTTAATTACTCTGCAATTCTTCTGTCTGATGATCAATAGAAATGCAGTTTTGTTCAAACAATTTCTCTGCAGTATATTGATCAGCTGAATCTTGCTTCTATCAGTATCTGTACTCCACTGCTGCCTGCAAATAATGTGATACACAGCTGGATTACAGTGATTGCTACCAAAACAGCTTTCACTGGAGGAGTTACACAAGAATACACACTGTTAAAAGATTTGAAAAACCTTCTTCATGACTTGCCAGTAACCACCAGTTCTGGTGCTGGCACCTCCTTCCCTCTGCTGAGCTCTCAAACTGCCCTGTCTGTAGCCTCACAACTATTCCTTTCCTAAGTGCACCTGGTTTAGGTCACTGTATCAGCCCTGAAATGGAAATCCTCCTCTTGTGCATACCCCCTCTGTCCCAGAGCAATATCCCAGCCTGAAATTGCTCAGCCAGGAAAAGAGCACCTATTTCCAGCATTTCTATTCCTCTACCCAAACCTGCTCCCAAAGGGGATTTCCATTCTGTTATGTGGAAGAAGCTGCATCTACCCCCAGTTATCTTTGAGCACTGTGTAAATTTAAGCCCAGCCAATGTCTTGGGTAGGTAGCAGGGAAGGAAGGGCCACAAAGGACCCCAGAGGTTAGAGCTGCACAAGCTGGGGGGAGTATAAAAAGTAGCCAGATTACCATGTCTAAAGAGAGGGCTGAGAGCATGTGTGTGCAAGCAAAGCCAAGGGAGGTTACATCTGGAGAGTGCTTCATGACTTTTGGCAGATAACAGTTTCGACCACAAAAGTGTTTTCAAAGTGACGAATGCGATGACAGTTTCCAGCCTCACGTCGACTGATACCTAGAGGTGATTTAAACAGAGGAGAGAGGTGAATCAACAAATGAGAATCTGTAAGAACCAAAGCAAGGAGGGGAAGGAAAGCAGATGAGATGCAACTTCTGAACACTGAAGTGGGGGAACAGCATAGCCCATATGGAATGCAGCCATATCTGGTCTTTGGAAGAATTAACAACCTTCTCTAGGATATAGTCCTGCAGTAAGAGCTGCTATGGGCTGAAGGAGTCATCTGGCAACACCTGGTTTCAGCTGACAGCATCTCAGTGGTATCTCAGGGACCAGAAAGCCTCCAGAAACCAGCAGAAGTCACAGCCAAGAAGTGTTTAAAAGACCTGTTTGTATCCCTGGGTGCCTGATCCTGCTGTGGCCCCAGCCTGGGGCAATGCTTCCCCCTGGGTAACACCCCCCCATGCCTTCCAAATGCAGGTCCTCAGCTCTGAGCAGCTCTGCTGGCAGCTCCTCCCTCCTTACAGCAAACCTGGGGTGCCCCAATGACTGCCAGGGCTGTGCCAGTTATCTTTGAGCACTGTGTAAATTTAACTCCGTGGCAGTCAGTGCAGCTCCCACTGGGAAAGCACCATCATCTACAGCCATGGGGATCTCTGCACCCTGCAGCTTCCCCAGAGACCCCAACCCCACTGACTGTAGGTACATGTTCCAGTTAAGCCTTTAACTATACCTTAAAAGCAAATTAATACAAATACTGGTATTAAAGAGTATTTTGCAGCAATGTTATCATTGCAATATAAGATACATATTGCTAACTTCCATGAAATCATTTTTACACAGTCCAATGTTCCCTCTTCACAACACTTTCCGTACTATTATGAACTTAATTAATTAAAGGCAATTTGCAGATCTAATCTGCTCTGAATAGCTGCCACTGAATCGGGTGCCTTCATTAGGGAAATTTTCCAAACAATTCCCAACAGCACTGCTATTAGTTCAGCCCCAGGAGCCCACGTGGAAATAAATTGCTGGCTCCTGCAATCATTTCTGCAGGATTTGTATCAGGCTGATGGATGACACAAACACAGCACTCAGCACCCGTTTGCAGCAGCATCCTGAAGTTGGGCTTGGATTAACTACATGGGAAAAGGCAAAGCCCCAGAGGGAAACACAGCTCTGGTCATAAAGAGCCCAGCATGGCTGCACTAGCCAGAGAGGGGCTGTGATGTGGGGTGAGGAACAGGGACAGGGCTGTGATGTGGGGTGAGGAACAGGAACAGGGCTGTGATGTGGGGTGAGGAGGATTAGAAAGGGCTGTGATGTGGGGTGAGGAACAGGGACAGGGCTGTGATGTGGGGTGAGGAGGATTAGACAGGGCTGTGATGTGGGGTGAGGAAGATGAGACAGGGCTATGATATGCGGTGAGAAGCAGGGGGCAGGGCTGTGGATGAGGAGCAGGGCAGGCTGTGATGTGGATGAGGAGCAGGCAGGCTGTGATGAGGATAAGGAGTAGGGGCTGTCAGGGGCGGAGGAGCAGGGCAGGCTGTCAGAGGCTGAGGAGCAGGCAGGCTGTGAGGGGCTGAGGAGCAGGGGCTGTGATGAGGATGAGGATCGGGGGCTGTCAGGGCTGAGGGGCAGGAGCAGGGGCTGTGATGAGGGTGTGAGGGGCTGAGGAGCAGGCAGGCTGATGAGAGTGTGAGGGGCTGAGGAGCAGGCAGGCTGTGATGAGGATGAGGAGCAGGCAGGCTGTGATGAGGATGAGGATGAGGCAGGCTGTGATGAGGGTGTGAGGGGCAGGCAGGCTGTGATGAGGATGAGGAGCAGGCAGGCTGTGATGAGGATGTGGGGCAGGCAGGCTGTGATGAGGATGAGGAGCAGGCAGGCTGTGATGAGGATGAGGGGCAGGGGTTGTGATGAGGGTGTGAGGAGCAGGCAGGCTGTGATGAGCCTGTGATGACCCGCCACCTGGAGCCATGGAGCCATTTGGCACCATGCCAGCAAGGACTTCATTAAGGGAAAGGACCATGTGGTTCCAATGATGTCATGATGGCTCCAAGTTCAAAGGTCACTGGCTCCAAGTCAATAAAAAGGGAATGGGTTTTGCTCTATATAAGTCAATGGGATTCATGGCTCCAAGATGGCGGTATATCATATAGTATGAGGAGCAGGCAGGCTGTGATGAGGGTGTGAGGGGCAGGCAGGCTGTGATAAGGATGAGGGGCAGGCAGGCTGTGATGAGGATGAGGTAGGCCCTCACGCCGGCGGGCGCCGCGCCGCCGCAGCCGGTACGTCTCCTTGCCGCTGCACAGGCGGTAGATGAAGGAGCCCAGCTGCTCCATGTCGCTGACGTGCTCCGTGGCGATCATCTCCTCCTGGATGATGTACGTCTGAGGCAGGTATGTCCCTTTCTGCAAGAACAGAGTTCCCACTGAAATAAGGCACAAACACCCCCTGAACACAACTGTTTCACACAGAGCACCATGAACAACCAAACTGGGGAAAACTGCTGGGGCTCAAGCTCCACTTACTGAGGCCAGTTAATGTGTGACCTTGTCCTTGCAAGAAACTGTCCCTTGCTACTGGCACAGTGCACACAAAATAGATGAGATCCAAAAATGGAATGTTCACATAAGGGGTGAAGTCAGTGTAGGATCAACCCTGTTATAAACTGACCCAAATTTTAGAGCAGGATGCCCAAAACTGTAACTATGAGAGTACAACAAAGCCATCTGGAGAGAAATAAAAGCTTAACCAAAATTCCAGGAACTCCACTGAAATGTGCACTCTACATTTACTTCAAAAGAAAAAAACCAAAACCACCAGCCCAGCTCAGATTTCAACATTCTCCTCTCCTCTCTGGTCCACTGAGCAGAGCCACAGTGATGTCCTGCCCTAAGTGCCCACAGGAATGGGGATTAGAGATGTGCCATGGGCAGCACATTCAGAGAAGACCTGAGCCCCCCACACACCTTCATTGCCCCAGGAATGTCTGGGGCAGTGACATCCCTGCTGTTGGGTAGAGGCCACTGTGAAGGCCAGGGTGATAAGTGAGGTGTCATGGCAGAAAGCTACCAGGGGATGGATAAAACAGGGTTTCAGTGTGTCCCCAGAGATGGAGGTCTCATCTTCCCCAGCTCAGCACTGGAGACTGTCTGCAAGCTCATTCCCAGGTGCTCAGGGCATCTTTCATGTTTGGACATCACTGTAGCAACAAACAGCTGTGTAACAAGGGCAGCCTGGGCCAGGGCACTTGTGAGCAGGTGCTAACTAGATCATGAAGCAAAAAATCACCTCTGGTCCCTTTTCCTTAAGAAGAGTCAAAGAAAGAAAAGAAAAGTCAGACCCTGGGGCCAAGGTAAGCATAACTGTCTCCAGCTGAAAGGTGCAGCTGGGGGCTGTGTGCTCTATCCCCACCTGTCAGAGCTGGGGCAGCTCTCTGCTGTCCATAGGCAGTTTTTTCTTGATCTCTCCCCCAGCCAACCCTCCCTCCAGGAGATCTCTGCTGTCCATGGCCACTGAGTGTCCCTGCAGGGCTGATCCAATCCCAGCATCCCATGGGGAGATGCTCCGCCCAGGGGAGGAGCCAAGCATTCCTACCTGGATCCAATCTGAGCCTGGCACACCACAGCAGCCTTTGCCCCCTGCATTGCCAGAGGAGCAGCTTTCTGCTGCCCTGCATGGCCAGAGGGAGCCCAGGCCCATCTGCAGCAGCCCTGGAGCTGCAGAGGAAAACTCCCCCCTTGTGCAGGATCCCTGCTGCAGCAGAGCCACAGCTGGCACTGCAGGAGGGCTGAGCCCCCATGGATGGGGCTGGGACACCCCCTGGCACACAGGGGGCAGGGACTGCTCTCACTCTGTGACTGTTGGGTCTTTTGTACTACTGTATTTGTATTTTTAATTTTCCTAGTAAAGAACTGTTATTCTTATTCCCACATCTTTGCCTGAGAGCCCCTTAATTTCAAAATTATAATAATTCACAGGGAGGGGGTTTACATTTTCCATTTCATTTTCCATTTAGCAGACACACCTGTCTTTTCAAACCAAGACAATAACCAAGCAATAGCAGCACCATTTCAGGATTCACCTCTTCTGTTTCCCAGGACTGTTTATCTCCACAGAGACACACCTGGAAACACACTACCTAAACTCAGTGCTGAGCTGGCACAGCCAGGTAGATCAATAAGGCTGTCCTCTAACACTGCAGGATTAGAGAATTAGTGCCTAATTTGTAGTTTGCCTAGTTTGTACTGCACTAACACTTCAGTTCTGTAAGAAATTCCATTATTGATTCTCAATAATAGAGAAGGCAGGGGGGCTGTGAGATACATGCAGCTCCTGGCAGGGGCTGTCAAAGTGACAGCCAGGGCTGGGGCTCTCAGCCCTGGAGAGAGGGCTCAGAGAGACATGAGCACACAGGCCAGTTTCTTCACTGTCTCAGACTGAAACAGCTGTGGCAGGTGAAGGGGGAATCACCACTCCTCCATGACAGTGCAATAAGGACAGTACCTTCAAGTCTCTGCCAAGAGCTTTGAGCAAGCTAAAGCTCTGAGCATCTTGTGTTCTGCAGGAGATGTGGATGGTCCATCATTTAACTGGGTCACCTCCAGGCTCCTGCTGCTGCAGTGGGGAGCATCCCTCCATTCTTTTATGCAGCCCTGGTCACTGAACTGTCACACCTGTGCAGAACAAAGCCTGAAAGAAGCAGGCACAGTGCATGTGGCAGCCACTCTGCAAAGGGGCACCCTGGCACCAGGCTGGCCAGGAGGAAAGAGCAAAGGAGGTTCCCCAACTCCCTGAGCTGCCCCAGTCTGCTGGAGCAAACCACTGGTGTTAACTGCTGGACTGTGATTTGATTGTAGAAACAGGGATGCAGTCACTGAACAGATCCAAAACTAAACTTTCTGCAGGGAAAAATTCTCATTCATTAGGGACTTGACTGTATTCAGAGATGCAAAGAAGAAAAAAGTCTCCAAGTCCAAGGACCAACAAAGCTCACCCAGCATCCAAAAGGCAGCAGTTTTGAGCAGCAGGGCAAGTCATAGGGTCATAAAGATCCTCCCTGCAGCAGGAATAAACTTGAGCTTTCTGCCTGATCAGCAAGGCCACCCCCGCCACATGTGGCCACAAAGATGACAGGCCCAAAGGATCACAGCTAATTCAGGACTTTATCCTACCTGGTCTTGAAATCTTCAAGAATTTCAAGGAGGCAGTACAGCCTTTCTGGGTACCCTGTTCCACTGCTTCACTGTCCTCGTGGTGGAAAACTTTTCCTGAACCCAAAACCAAACTAATCATTTTAAAACAATGTCTCTAAGGTACAGGTTAAAGCCTCCAGAGACAGATTGGACACTACTGAACCATCTCAATAACCAGGAGGTCATTTAAATTCACACCTGCTTTGGGCTCTTCACATATGACCTCATATGTGCTTATGTAAGCATAAGCACATCCCCTTTTTAAATTCAAAGACAATGCATCATTTTCACTGGCTCTCAAATATATCTGTTATTTTAGGATGTGACCAGCATTCCCAATCTCTCAGTTGTTTTCTCTCAGCTTCTGCAATCCTGCCTTTTCCATTTCCCTCTGCCCCAGGGACTGGTCACCTGCCAGGGTCAGGAGATGTGACAGCTCTGGATGAGTTGTAAGTAAATGTGTGTTGTACCCCTGCAGGGTTCCCAGCACATTTTCCAGACAGTCACAGTGCATGAAATTGTGAGGACTGCAAGGAAACAAACTGGGAGTCTGACAGGGACTGGAGATCAGGCTCTCTCCAGGCATTGCTGCTTGTCTCTGAGTTCACACTGCAAAGTTCACCATACTGCATATAGCAGGAAGTGAGCAAAGAGAATTTAAGAAAGAGCAAGAATTAGATTGTCTTTTTCCCTCCTTTTTTTTTAAGCAGACCCTCACAGGAGTGATAAAAGACCCAGGCTCAGTGCCTTGATTTACCTGCAGAAGACTGAGACAGATATGTACCTTCTGCAGTCTGAAAAATCCTGTGCTTTTTTCCTGCTGTGAAGATTAAATAGTATTCTATTTTAAGATGGCTGCTTTCAGCAGCACAGGCTTCTGAACTGAACAAAATCGCTGGTACTAAACCAAATTAATGCTGGCTGTGAGCATAACTGCATGAGCCCAAGCCTGGTGCTGCAGCCCAGAAGGGAGGGCAGCACAGATTCCCCCAGAAAGGTGAGTGCTGAAGGCCTGTTCCTCCCCAAGGGACACTGAGAGCTCTGCAAACCACAGTGCAAAACTCAGGAGGGGAAAGGAAGGAATTTCTTCTTTTTTCCTTTGATTCCTACAGTCAGTGAACACCAGAGGGAGGGAACCTGCTGCTTCTCTGTGTCTCCCTGGTCAGGCTGCTCATCGTGCCCAGCATTACTGTGCTGTCTGCACAATCAGTATTTCAGTCAAACCTGCTGAAGCCTTCACTCTACGTGGAGACTCAGGGCCAAGGCTCACTGCCCCAGACACAGCAGTTCTGATTTGCCAGGAGCTTTCCAACTCAAGGAAAGCATGCAGAAAAGCAGCAGGGCTGCAGCTGTACCTTCACGTTGACCAGTAGCTCCCACAGGTTGCGAGGAGGCATCACGATGGTGGTGTTGAGCTCGATGACGTAGCACTTGTCCAGGGTGATGTCATGGTACGCTGTCAGACCCTGCAAGCCAAGCACAGGAATGACACAAGTCAACTCTCTGCAATGAACCCTGACTGGGAAAATGGGTGAGGAGAGGCAATTCAGGGAAGACAGGACACTGTGTTAAACAAACCTCCCTACCCAGCAAGCAGAGTGGGTTGGAAAAGCCCAGAGAGGGCAGCTCAGGAATAGATCCTGTGACAGCAGTGACAGTGCTAGGCCATGAGCACGGAGCTGTGCACCCAGCCCAGCCCCATGGCTGCCCCCACAGGCCCCAGGAGCTCCTTACCCGCTGGAAATCATGGATGATGTCCGCAGGGTCGCTCCCTCCAAACTGGGGCACTGGCACATTGATTTGCTCGTAGTTCTCCTCAATGTAGATCTTGACATCCTCATGCAGCTCCAGCTGCCCTTTGAAGGGCGAGTACAGCGAGTCTTCGTACAGGACCCCGCAGTGGAACACGCTCTCACGGGGCAGCTGTGGGGTACAGCACAATCCAGGCATGGCTGCAACACCACCCCCCAATAGCCACAGCAAACAGGAGTGTACCCCTGCTGGGTAAAACACTCATCAGATGCTTGAGGATATTGTAAGTTCAAGCTTTTTAGCA